TCTTAAAATGTTTTAATCAATTTAATTTTTCCATTTAGAAAGCTCCATACTTTAACATCATTCATTTCTGTAGATACCATAATAGACCCAGTAGAATTAAAAACTATTGCATAACATATCGAATTTTATTTAACAGATTAATCAATTAACTTTAATTTAATTTCACTATTTTTTGATAAACTTGAACAATCAATGTTAATAAATTTTTCCTTTATCTATTTAAAGTTAAGTTTATCTTTATGTTGAATATATTAATTTAAGTTATTAGATAATTTTGTCTTCCAAGATATATTAATATTATTGATAAGTGTCATATTAGATATATAATTAATATTCTAATCCTTAATAAAAGAATCTAATTCATCATATAAACTATATTAGTTGAATTATTAACTTTATTCCAATAGATTTTGAGTCCAATCTTGAGCTATGTTAATCATAGAATCAAATAATTTCATCAATTAAGTCTTTAATTCTTATATATTTTCAATACAAATTGATAATTGTTGAACTTTTTTCTACGTAATATTTTGCAAGTTTTTAATATTTTCATCAATAAGATTTTCAATAATATTGATTAATTTTAAAAATCCTATAGTTTTTGCTTCTGATTCAAAGTTTTCAGTGCATTTGTTGCACAAAGTCTATGCTTCTTGTCTAATTTTGGATCAAGTACAACCAAAAGAATTAGTTAGTTATGTTTGGGTTAACATTCAAAATCTTTCTCATTTTCTATCATTTTTGGTTTTAACATTTAATTATATATTAAAATTTTTTTTTAATTAATCCACATTTATATAGAATGATTTCAATAGTTTAATCGAAGATATATCTTCCAAAAAGTTATAAACTTTCAGGAGGTAAAGCTTTTCCCTTCATTTATTAAGTTATAAACCATATTTTTCAATAGTATAACTCAAAAATAGTAATTTTTTTAGGTATTTTTTAAAGTAATAAGCAATTAAGAAAGCTGCTCATAATTTGGGTCTTTTCAATTTAGTCTTGAATCATACAAAATCATAGCCAGCAATAATAATTTGGGTCTATGATTCAAGTACTTTACAGATTGTATTTTTTAGAATCTCATATATACTATCAATAGAAGTGCTAATAATCAGTGAATATTAAGAATTCCATAAATTTTTGCCATGTTAACTGGAAGTCTGAATCTATTTAGCAATTTTACATTTAAGCTTCTACACTGATTAGATGGAGCTAAAAGATTGAATGCTATTGGAATTGTGCAGTCTGTTTTGCAATTCTTAGACCTATGCAATAGTCAAATCGTTCAGGGTAAGTATCTGTATGGCTTAGCTTAGAATCTGTATAGTATAGAGTTATGCCATTAAATTGGTAAAAAGTTCTTGATTTGAGAGTGTTTATTTCTTTTATATTTATTAAGCCGCTTCAAATTCCATCAAGATTCTTCTAACTCTTTAACAATCTTAAGAATTCATCTTTGAATTATCAAATAATTCTTCAAACTAATCCAAGATCTATCCATACATCAGCAACTTTTTTCATTTTAAAATCTTTAACATTTGTTTTATTATATTTGGGTTAATATATTCTTTAATCCTTCCCTACTATAAAAATTTCTATTAATGACATTATAAATGATATGATCAGAGCTTTCATTCCATTCTTTCAATATCTTACCATCTTATCAATCTTATTATTTTGAGTATTGTAGTCTCCTCACAGTTTATAAGCTAGTATTTCATTAATAATCCTATAATCTATGATAATTTAAAATCGATTATTGGCCTCATTTGTTGCATTTCTTAATTATTATGAAATAAAACTTTTAAAATAATTAAGTTGGAAATATTGTTCTCAACCTTCTCTCTTTTTTGTCTACATCTAAGTCTGGATAATAAATATCTGTAATGGTCCTATTTTGAAATTATTTATGAACACCGACTGAGAGTATGGATTACTATCGATAGTAGTAGTATTTGAAATTTACTGAGTTCTAGAATTATTAGTTTTTCACTTCCTATAAACTAATTTCTTTATATATATTATAAATTTCCCTTTATTATTTATTCTGTATAAGTTTCGTAAGTATCTTGTT